TTTAATTATTAATTATAGTAGTAATTTCCAAATGTAAAGACCTTATATGATAAGATATAAGTAACCTTAAGATTGCTGCCAGTAACTGTGTGCACCAAGAACTTGAGAAGTGCAAACACGAGAATGAGGCCTCCCTGTGTAACTCTAAAGAATAATTTAAAAAACGACCAACAACCATCAGCTTGAATTTTCTTACTAGGCAGAACTGCTACATCATTACTTGACCACAGTACCTTGTGACCGCACTCTTCCTGTGCGGGAAGTGCTTTTCTACATTGCAGGAAGTAGTTCTAGGGAATCCTCTTAAACATCATTATTTTTTTTAACTCTGAGCAGGTTGCCTCTCAAAACCATCTTCACGGCATGTACAGAACAACCTGTTGCTTTATAGCAAAGGTTCCTGGTTGCTGTGTCTGGGTAGGGACCACAGTGGCTCCTGGCAGAGCTGGGGAGTGAAAGAAAATCTGGGTTTAGAATTAAGGAGGTTGGATATTGTGATACTCTTCTTGCTGTCCTGTTGGAGATGGTTCAATTTGGTGTGAAGTATCACATTAAAACATACGGGGTTTGACTTCCCAGTTTCTGTTCTACTTTGCATATTTGTCTCTTCTCAGATAGCAAAAATACATATTTTATGTATTCTTAAATAGAGCCTGGCTTGACTTCCTGAAAGCAGAGTGCATGTTTTTGAAGCTGTTTTAAGGTAATTGGGCTTGTTGAGTAAAAAGCTCGATTCCTGCTTTTCTTGTTTCAAATTGCAGCTGACCTCTGCAGAGAGAAGCTGAACTTTGGAAAGACAGAGCACTGGGTTTATTCTGTGAATAGCAGTTAAATTCTCAGCAAGGAATACTTCTGAGCTGTACATCATTTTTTGTAGAGTCTTCCTAGGAATAAGAACAGTTTATAAAGAGGAAGAGCTGAGAAACATCTTAATGACCACATCCCCAGAGCTGCAGAAAAAGCCCAGTTTTAATGCAGGTGCATTGACTCTCCTTATGAATTGAAGCTGTGGAATGATGGTTGCAGTTGTGCAAGTCCTCACACCTGATATCTGCAGAGCTATAAGCTTGGAATGAAGGTTGTGCAGTTGGTATTGGTCTCGTCCAGGCATGTTTCTTTAACTATGACTGCCATAAGGATCAAGCTGATGTCTGGGGATATTTTTTTTTCAAAAAATTGTGCTGCCATCATTCTGCTTCTAAATCTCTCACTCAAAGAATCATGACTCACAGATATGAGTATAAAAATACTTCTTATAGAATGATTTATATATCCTCAGTCCAAGGTATGCACCATGCTATTTTTGTCTTGTTCTAAGACAGCTTTCAAATACAAGACAGCATCAGCATTAAGTTTTTCATAGATCTGAGAGACTATACCAGCTACAGATGCTCATATATATGCTGCAGACCCCACATGTAAGAGTGAAAACTTGTGCTTCGAATGTGCCTCAAAAAGTAGCCACATCACTTTAAGCAGAGTGCTCACAAATGTTCTGTAAAGTAATGCACAAGTTCCTTGTATGTATGCCATGACTTAAAGTAGATGTGTCATCTTCAGCCACTGCCATGATTAGCCTGGCTGCCCAGTGGAGGGGAAGTCTTGTAGGAAACTCGAGCATGCTCTCCATAGTACGTTTTCTGAGTAGTCTTTCATTCTGAATTTCTCTGTGAACTTATTTTAATCCTGCAAATGAAATCACCTTTTCAGTAATTGGAAGAGGAACTGGTGTCTTCACATAGGTTCCTGTTTTCTCCATTCCCCCTGCATCCAGATAAGATCCACCCAAAGCAAACTGATTTGAAGGCTGCAGCAATAGGAGGAGAGTTCACAAGGTTTCCATGTTGTGTCCATGTACAATTACATTCTAACTCTGTAGGATCGCTATATTTCTAATATTTAAAGGTAGCTCAAGCATGGATAAATTTTGTATCCTTGCAGTGCCAAAATTGCAGCTACAGTTCAACTGATTGTGTGCTTGCCATATATGTGTATGTGCATCCCTTCTGTGTTTGGAAAACAAAATGGCTTTCATTTTCCTGGCTAGACCTGTGTAGAAATCAATCAAGAGTGGCTTACACACACAAGAATCCTTGTGTAATATCTTCTGGGTTGCTGGTATAAGGAGTAAGTTAACAGTATGTGGGCCCAGTTGCTTGTCAGAACCCCTCCACCTTGGAAATGAAACTTGAGCAATGTACTTACCAGCCAAGTATTGACAAATTTTCAATAGAAAAATGTGCAGCTTCTTGGGGTTCGTCACAGAGGTGAAAACTGACCTATTTCTTCAGTTTCAGAATCCTTAAATTGCTGTTAAGAACACTCAGTTAACCCAGAAAACTGGTATGGTACAGCATGAGCCCATTTTTCAGCATAAAATATGTTCTCATTTGAATTATGGAATAAACTTCCTTACAGTTCAACTGTTCTTGTTTTTTACTTGTATACAAGATTCGTAAACCTTAAGATTTTTAGAGATGTGACTAATGCTATGTTTGCAAAAGCTTTTTGGATCATTTAACATGGGATGTGATAGATCTACTGACAAACAGGTGTGACTTGCACTAAATCCTCCTTAAGCTCATCCCTTGAACTTTCAGCTGTTTCACTTGCTCTCTTGTCGTGGAAGACTAGATCCTAGTTATTCAGTAGGCCCACTGAGCAGGAAGAATCCCAAGTATTTTAGGTAGTACTTCGCTTGCTGTGTCCTAGTGAAATTCTGAATGGGTTGGATTGACTCCTACAGACACTTTCTGGCCTGCTGGGTGAATCAACTTCCTTTCTTCAGTTTTGGCCTTGTGACATTGTTTACAGTAAGAGACTGAAACTTATTGAGATCACTTAATAGATCATCAGTTAATTGTGGTGAAACAGTAAGATGACAGATCTTCTTATGTCTGGGGTCACAGTGTAAAGAAGTCGGGTATGCAGTTGTACAGTCTGTTTATATGTGACTTTATACTTAGTATTGTGCTAAAGATCTCAGCTTTATAGAACAGGAATCAGGTTTATAGAACTTCTTTATTCCCACTTGGAGCTAGATTTTACTCACAGAATTTATCCTTGTATTGAAATTTTGTTTTTCAAGATGAGTAAGGTTACTGACTCAATCTTTTTTGTTAATATCTGGCAATATTCTCCAGACATCCATTCCTGGAGGTTGTGGCAACTTTTAAGTTTCTTTTCTTTTTAACTTTTGCACTCATGTTATAAATGAACTGGCATGCAGCCAGCCTTGACATTAAGGTATTTTGGTAGGCAGTTCTTCTCAAGGATAGATCCCCACTGGTAATGTAAATCCAACATTATTACGTCTTACTTATGATGAACATGTTAACATCTTTTCGGGTTTGTTCCTGAGTTTCATGCTTCTATAATATATGAATTGCATCTGAAGAAATAAATGGGAACTCTACAGAATGTTAAAAAAAAAAACCAAACCAACCAAACAAAAAATCCCAAAACCAAACAACCCAGCAAATGACAGTGTCAATTAGGAAATAAAAGTATGAGCTTCATAGAATCATTTAGGTTGGAAAAGACCTTTAAGATCATCAAGTCCAACCATTAACCTAACATTACCAAGTCCACCACTAAACCAGTTAAGGGTAGAGTAGCAATTTCATGTTTCCTGGCTTGGTGGCTGGATTATTTTTAATGAAAGGAAAAACTAGGAATCATTAAGATTGGAAAGGACCTCTAAGATCATCATTCCAATCACCAACCCAACACCCCCATGCCCACTAAACCATGTCCCAGAGTGCCACATCTACCCGTTTTTTGAACGCTTCCAGGGATGGTGACTCCACCACCTCTCTGGGCAGCCTGTTCCAATGCTTGACTACCCTTTCCATGAAGAAATTTTTCCTCATATCCAACCTAAACCTCCCCTGGCGCAGCTGGAGCCCATTTCCTTTTGTCCTGTCCCTAGCTACTTGTGAGAAGAGCCCAACACCCACCTCACTACAACCTCCTTTCAGGTAGGAACCATCCTTCCCAGCTGGATGTTCAGGATCTTTCTTAAACTTACAAATTAAGTTTTAAACACTGTTCATGGGAGATGATAGTGGGGAAACTGTCAGATGAAGGTGACGTCTTTACTATAGGGTTGCTGAGTATCTGTTTTACCACACAGTTAGGAGGATTTATTGATACAGTCATATTCAAATCATGGTCCTAGATGACAAACCATAGAATCCCTGTTAGGAATTGCAGTCATCCCACAAAAGTGACAAAGACAAAATACTTCTGTTTTAGTATTGTTGTTTAGTAGTACAGAAGTTCCCCCTTCCTATCCAAGATACAACAAAAGAAAAATTGGAACCTAGATTCAGTAATATTAATTTTCTATTTCGCCTGTACTTCTTAATAATACTTTTTGTTAGCCCTTTGTAACTTCAAGGGATATATGAGCTGCTCTCTTCAGCTCCATAAATTGGGCATCTTAACTGTGTCAGTTTTTAAAATACATGCAAATAAATTAATGCTTCCCTCTCAAATCAAACGTGTTATGTGAGCAAAAGATAACTGTTAGAGGAGGCATACCTGTCCTGCCACTGTTGTCAGCTGTAATGTGTAACCTGCTTTCTTATGAGTGTGCACTGCAGTCTTTGTGCTAAACTATGTCAAAACTATTATTTTAGGTGTGAAGGTTATTTTAATCTTTTGTTCTCAAAAAAAAAAAAAAGTGGTTAAATTTTGTATATGAGATGGTATGAAAGATGTAGTATGGTTTAGGGGGGTTTTAGTTGGGCTTTCTGAGCACATGTGACAGCATTTAAATGTGTAGAGTTGCTCATTTTTCCATTTTTGCCTGTGGCCAGAGGGATATTTAAGATCATGTAATGGAAATGAGTACTAATTCTTTGTTCCTGTGAGGACTTTTGTCAATGTCTCTCATGTCAAAAAGTATAGCGTTGGTTTAGTTTTAAGTTACATGTATTGCTTTTGCTCTTTAATAAAGCTAATCAATCAATTCTTGTATCTTCACAGCTTTTCCATGGTTTGGCATGGACATTGGGGGAACTTTGGTGAAACTTGCATATTTTGAACCTATTGATATCACTGCAGAGGAGGAGCAGGAGGAAGTTGAAAGCTTGAAGAGCATCCGCAAATATCTGACTTCCAATGTAGCTTATGGATCCACTGGTATTCGAGATGTCCACCTTGAGCTGAAAGACTTAACGATTTTTGCTCGAAGAGGAAACTTGCACTTTATTCGATTCCCAACTCATGATTTGCCTACTTTTATCCAAATGGGAAGAAATAAAAACTTTTCAACACTACATACGGTGCTCTGTGCCACCGGTGGTGGTGCTTACAAGTTTGAAGAAGACTTTCGCACAGTAGGTAGCCTATCTTTCCTCATACTGAAGCTGATGCTAAAAGTATTGCTGATGATGGGTTAAAATAAGCAGTATTTTGAAAAACTGTGGAATGCTCAAAGATTATTAATTATTCAATTGTTTTTCAGCCTTAAGTATGATAATCTAGAAATATGCTTTCTGACATCGTCATAATAAACATGAAGATCTAATGCTAACAGCTAATTAGAAATTTCCATTAATGCAGTGAAATGCAGGACACCTTTGTGGAAGTTAACGATTTTCTAATCTGTTTTCTCTGATGGGAAATGTGCTTAAGCTGCTGAGGTGCTTGTCAACTTTGGATTTTCTTTCCTAAGCAGTCTTTGATGATAGGTTTTCAATGTTTGTGGATGGGATTATCCTCATTAATTTAGTCCAGTGCATTGTTTAGAGACCTGTGACAAGATGTGTATCTTGAAGACAGTCTTTTTTCAACCGCAGAGCGGTTTGGTGTTTCCATGAGGTGTTTTGACTCCTCCCTTGACGATTGAAATTGATCATTTGTTTAGATGCTGTTTCTATCCGGAGATAGTAGTTACTAACTGAGAATCTTATCACAGTATCCAGTATGCACATATCCTAGTTTTAAAGTGGCTGCAGACCTCTTGGTGCTTCTAGAGACAAGACGGCTTTAATAGCACAAAATGTTTGGTTTCAAAAATCTTGTATATCCATTCCTGTGCCAGTCTTGCATTTAGCTGGTACAACTGTTCGTGGGGTACAGTCACAATTTGTACAGCAGAACTAATTCATTATCTAAAACCCCACAGAAATATTTTATGTTGGTGCAGTTCCCTGAGCTGCTCAACAGTGAAGCTTCACAGTTGTGCCATGGCAAGAAAAGCTGAAGGGACCTGGGGGAAGAGAAGGGGACTGGCAGTGCTGTGATCTGGTACTGATGTCAGTCAGCAGTGTGCAATTGTCTGATTGTTCAACTTCGTAATCTAACTGCAGGCTGCTTTCTAAATGTGAGCTCACTTGATTCAGAGAGAGACTTTATGGGTGTTTTTTCTTGGATTAGCTGCCTAATTGGACTCTCTAACTGTTGGAACTCCCTGCTGTGGTAAGGGAGAGAGTGTGATCACTCTTTTTGTGAAAGCCCAGGGTTAAATTGGATTAAGTATGGTGTGAAATTACAGCCTTCCTGGAATCCACAGCACCTGTTGAATTGTCTTTCTGCTTTATGAGAGATCAGCAGCTTAAATGTCATGTGCAAAGCAGTGACAAGTGGAGTCCCTCGGGGGTCTGTACTGGGACCGGTGCTATTTAACGTCTTCATCAGTGACATAGACAGTGGGATCAAGTGCATCCTCAGCAGGTTTGCCGACAACACCAAGCTGAGTGGTGCGGTTGACACGCCAGGAGGACGAGATGTCATCCAAAGGGACCTGGACAAGCTGGAGAGATGGGCCTGTGTGAACCTCATGAGGTTCAACAAGGCCAAGTGCAAGGTCCTGCACCTGGGATGGGGCAACTCCAGATACCAATACAGGCTGGGGGATGAAGGGATTGAGAACAGCCCTGCAGAGAAGGACTTGGGGGTACTGGTGGATGAAAGGCTGGACATGAGCCGGCAATGTGCGCTTGCAGCCCAGAAAGCCAACCGTATCCTGGGCTGCATCAAAAGAAGCGTGGCCAGCAGGTCGAGGGAGGGGATTCTGCCCCTCTGCTCTGCTCTGGTGAGACCTCACCTGGAGTACTGCATCCAGCTCTGGAGCCCTCAGCACAAGAAGGACATGGACCTGCTGGAGCGGGTCCAGAAGAGGGCCACAAATACGATCCAAGGGCTGGAGCACCTCTCCTATGAGGCCAGGCTGAGAGAGTTGGAGTTGTTCAGCCTGGAGAAGAGAAGGCTACAAGGAGACTTTATGGCCTTCCAATACTTAAAGGGGGCCGACAGGAAGGATGGGGAGAATCTTTTTAGCAAGGCCTGTTGTGACAGGACAAGGAATAATGGGTTTAAACTAAACGAGGATAGATTTAGACTGGATATGAGGAAGAAATTTTTTACCGTGAGGGTGGTGAAGCACTGGCACAGGTTGCCCAGAGAGGCAGTGGAGGCCCCATCCCTGGCAACATTCAAGGTGAGGTTGGATGGGGCTCTGAGCAACCTGATCTGGTTAAAGCTGTCCCTGCTCCCTGCAGGGGGGTTGGGCTAGATGACCTCTGAAGGTCCCTTCCAACCCTAAGCGTTCTATGATTCTGTGAAAACTGAGGAAGAACTGTAATGAGCCTAAAGTCCTGTAGAACTTCTGACCGGTGGTTTTCTTATGATCCTTGGAGTGTTAATAATGTTGTAAGGATAGTTAGTATGATGCCACTGAGGTTTTTGTCTTAGGTTTTTATCTGCTGACATCTTAGAAATGACTGTTTGGCTTCTGAGATGGGGGAGGAAATCCACAAACCTTGAAAAGATGTGCAGATGTGTGAGTTTCACCAAGATGGCACTTGATGGGGCCTCTAGGGTATTTGGTGACCTTTTTTGATTTAGATTGATGAAGAATGTTGCTAATTTTTCAGTGGATTAATGTCTGAGTATCTCAAAAGTTATATTTGGGCTTACCAAACCATATATTTATACTGCCTGTCTGTTCTTGAGTCAAGTTTGAGATCTAGATTAGAATAATTTGCGAACTGATGTATTCAGAATTTACTTCTGAATTCTTTGTTGGCTTTATAGTGGGATTGAAGTTTCTGAATTAGTCACCTGAGATGGCTTCTTAAAGTTAGGCAGTACAAATATACTCATAAATTTGTAGCACGTTTAAGCAATGTTAGAACATGTTGACACTGTCTTCTTTTCTTTTTTAACACAGATTGGAAACCTCCAGCTGCACAAACTGGATGAGCTTGACTGCCTTGTCAAAGGCTTATTGTATATAGACTCTGTCAGCTTCAATGGTCAGGCAGAGTGCTATTATTTTGAAAATGCCTCAGATCCTGAGAGATGCCAAAAGATGCCTTTTAACCTGGATGATCCATACCCATTGCTGGTTGTTAACATTGGTTCAGGAGTCAGTATTTTATCAGTCCATTCCAAAGACAACTATAAAAGAGTAACTGGAACAAGGTAACTTAAACACCTGAGTTGGGGTTGTCACTCTATGGAACAACAAGCCTTCTGCTTTCAAAGTGGTTCCTCTCCCTGACTCTCCCTCAACCTATCCCTTCCCTCACTCTGTAGCATGGAAAAGTATTTTATCTTTAATTTACTGCTGCATTCATTGAAGCCCATTCCCATAGCTCTATTATTGAGGAGATTCAGCTAGGGTCATCTTAATCGATGAGTGCTAGAAGTGCTCCATAGTGAGAGTTTTACAGGTTTTGTCTTAAGTTTTGATGTGTCCAGCGAACCTGTGTTTCTCTTGCTCCATAAGCGTAAGTATGTCCACATGTGTTTTACAGTAAATGATCAAGCATCAGAGTCTGTGGCATGATGGTGGGTATTTAAGGAGTTTGTCTCTGATTAAGTCTTCCATCTTACATTTTTTTGAGTTTATAACTATTTGTTAGCTCTTACTGTATGGTTAGCTTCTTGTAAGTAACTTATATAAATGTTAAATTGATTGACAGCTGTTTATGTAGTGAACCTTAAGCAAGAAAGCAGACAGCTTGGTATTTAAGTTGAAGGGTTTTACTTGTTTATATTCTTAATCAGACATAAGAATCTTTGATGTGAGGAAATACTATTTAAAAGCAACTAGTTTTCTTTCTTCTTAGTCTAGGTGGAGGGACCTTTCTTGGTTTATGCAGTTTGTTGACGGGCTGCGAAAGTTTTGAAGAAGCTCTGGAAATGGCATCCAAAGGAGACAGCACACACGCTGACAAGCTGGTTCGAGATATTTATGGAGGAGACTATGAAAGATTTGGCTTGCCAGGATGGGCTGTAGCATCCAGGTAAGCAAGAGATATTTTTGTTGGTTCTTTTGCTGGTTTGGGGGGGCTTCAAAAACAAGACTTAAACTATTAATACAGAGAAAACTGCTTTTTTCAAACTTTTATTGTAGCCAAGTTATGTTTTTATCCTGAAAGTATATATGCTCAGTTTTCCTGAAGATTTAAAGCCACATGGAACTGCAGGTGCCTGCTAGCTAGGTATTGAAGAAACCTCATGTGATGTCATGTACAGATTTACATGAGTCAAAGAGAATGCGAGGTGATCATGGGAGTGGGAAGAACAAAGTGCAGAGGAAAAACAAAGCCAATTACTTTTTGACTTCATAGAATCTTCCCGTAGGGCTGTTGTCCAGAGGGAAGGTGAGTGGAAGACAGAATTTGTGTTGCTCACAGTAGTATCGCTGCTTCTTTTTTTTTTTTTTTTTTTTTTTTTTTTTTTTGGTTTTCTTTGGCAACCTCCTCGCTTCTCCCAGCCCTCTGGTTTCCATGCCCTTCAGGGGGTCGCTCCTCTCTTCTCCCGCGGACCTGGGACATCGAAGCTGTGTCAGACGATGCCATTTCATCCCTGTTTGAACTCCGTTTCGCTTTGGTGGTTTGCAAACACAGCTGCTGCTGCTTCTTTTTTTTTTTTTTTTTTTTTTTTTTTTTTTTTT